CATCTTTTCCTGTGTCTATTGTTCACTTATATGTCTTCTCTAGAGAAATATCTATTCAAATTCTTTACCTATTTCTTAATTGGGTTCTTGCTTAGGAAACGTGTTTGTAAAAGTCATTGTAAACTATACAGTCAACATCACTGTGAGCCACCCCCACCACCTGCCACCAGTGAGACCCACAGGAAAAGCCCAGGATCAGCCTGAACTGAGACTCATGGGACGACACGGGTGAGGGGCTGGTCGGCCGCTCCGTCCCCCAAGGCCCCCATCTCAGCTTCCGGCTGAGTAAGTGCTCAGCTCTGTACCTCGATCTCTGTACCCACCCTGGCTCACGGGCCCCTCGTCCGTGATGCTGACCGCAGCTGGGAGGTGGCCTTACTTTGGCTGTGTGACAGTGGCCAGGGCAGGAGGGGGCCCTTTGTCCCTCTGGTTTGACTGTGGTCTCGGCGAGATCCCGGTCACAAGCCCAGCCTCTCTCCTTGTATCTGCGGGGCAGAGCTCAGGGCCGCGCTCCATCAACACCCCAGCCTCCCGGCCTGCATCCTTGACCTGGGTGCACACCCAGGAACCAGGCGGAGCTGAGAGGGCCTCTGGGCTGGCTGTGTCTTCGATGGGGGAGCCAAGTGGTTTCCATGGATGGGGTGGATGGTGTTCCCGGGGGGTGGTGGGGGCTTGAGCTGGACTGAGAAGGGCATGAGGACCCGGACAGGGGCCGTGTGTGTTGGTGGGGGGGCACCAGGAAAGTCCCAGGCACAGAGCACTGGGGGGCTGGGGTCAGGGCAGCACCTGGGGTATGGATCTGCCTTGGGTTAATGGGAAGCTCTCAGGATAGGCTGGGGGTGAGGCCTGGGAAGGGGGCCTCATACCCTGACCTCACTATATCGACAGTGAGGAGGGACAGAGGTGGCTTGAGCAGAGGGCCTGGGGGAGGTAACAGCTGTTGGCAGGCTCTGGGAGGAGCTTGAAGCCCCTTTAGTTCACCTTTGGGCTTGCTTAGGGCCTGGTATGCAAAGACAGATGGCCCTTGGGCCTGCTCCTGCCAGGTGGGGGAAAACTCAGGGCACAGAGGGTGGCCAGGGGTGGGGGGTCACCCCTCCTGGGCCTGGGTCACTGAGGCTAGAAGCTGGCCTCCCTCAGCCCAGAACCAGGAGGAGAGGGCCCTGCCCTCCCATGAGCCTGCTATGGACTGTGGGTATCGTCCGGGGGTCAGCCCTCCTGCAGGCCCCATACCACCCCCCACTCCCCAGTCTGCACAAGTGGATGGTCAAGCCCAGTCACACCCCTGTGCAGCCTCCAGCCTGGGGGTGGCCAAGGCACCTCCTGGGAAAACATCCCAGGACCCCTGCTGTCCCAGAGCTTTGGGCTAGCCCGTCCAGCCTTCCTGAGCCCAGGTCAGACGACAGGTACCTCCAAGAGATAGCAAAGGGCCAGGCTGGCCGGGAGATCTGCCCCAGGAGTGCTTGAACCGCAGGGAGCCTCTGGAGGTCCCAGCAAGCAGCACCCGCGTCTGAGGCCCTGGCACTCGAGGCTGCCGGTGGTGGAGGTCATTTTGTCTCTGAGCGAATGTCCAACCCCAAGGTCTCAGGCCTCCCGACGGTAAAGGGCTCCTGCCTGTCCTTCCCAGCATGCCCACCGCATGGCATCTGTGAACTCGGCCCCTCCTGGGTCTGGGCCTCGCTTGAACACCATGAACGCCCCATGCAGCCCGCCTGCAGCCAGCCGGGCCTCGTGCTGCATTCCAGACTCAAACAGGATTTGAGGATTAGCATTGTTTTAAATTATTCCTACACCTCAGCCCTGCAGAGGGGAATCCGTGTTCTCAGACTGCCGGCACTGGGAGAGCAGGGGTAACTCTGAGCTGCAGACCAGGTTCTCCCAACGTGTGAGAGCAAGATAGTTTGGTGGAGGAGACATGGTCATCCCTAATAGTTACTTATTTTTTTAAGTTTTTTTTTTTTAATAAGATGTTTCTAGTACTTTAAATCTCTTTAGGACACAACTGAAGAGGGTATTTAAATAATAAGCAAATACAGCAAAATAAGAACAAAAACCACAAAGTGATGGGCCAGATGGTGAGTGGTTATGCGGAGCTGGGATGGAGGCTCCAGGAGCAGCTCCTTTGGGGACCACCTGGCGGCCAGGTGAGCCCTCCTCCGTGAAGATGCCAGCGCCCATGTCTCTACTTCGGGAACATGGGGGGTGGCCAAACACCAGACTCCAGACCGCCCCCTCTGTTCCCCGCGAGCACCTCACTGACCACGGGCTCATCCCACCTACCGTGTGACCCGGCAGGGCCAGGTTCTCGGGGAACACGTAAACAAGACAAAGCCTTGTGTGGGCATGGGGCACTCTCGGCCTGCTCACTGGGTTTGTTCACACACTGCATTCATTCATTCAGGAGATCCACGTGGAGCTAGGGCTGGGGAGAGGGGCTGGGGGGTGAATGTGGCTCCGGCCCTGGTGGGCTCAGCCAGCCTCCAGCCAAGGCCACTGCCCCCAGAGCCAAGGGCGAGGTAGGAGCCGAAGCCAGCCGTGTGAGGCCACAGAGCCTGCAGGTTTGTGCACCCCCCGCCCCCGGCTCTCTCGCCGTTCCCTCCGTGGGGTTCCACATTATGAAGGAGAACTTCTCTGCAAAAGGGAAGAGGTAAACTTTCCTGCGTTTTCTCCCATTATCCGCTAAGCTGGCTCCCAACACCAGCCGGATGGCAGAAGCGCCCTAGTTAATGACACTTGGGAGCCAGGGGACAGTGTCCACCACCCCCTCTTGGTGGGCTCCCTGGCGGGGAGGGCGGAGGGGGGCATGGGAGCAGGGGCCCCCTGCCGGGGCCAGACTTCAGGGGCATTACAGGGCAGGGGGCCGGCTGGAGGCCAGCACGTCTGGCCTCTCCCCATCAGCAGCGCCCTCGGGGTGGGTCTGTGCTGGAGAAGGCATCAGAATCTCTTTCCTTTATGAGGCTGAGTGATATTCCCTTGTATGGATAGACCCCATTTTGTTAGGGCTGCTCAGGTTTCCTTGAGATTCCACGTGAATTTAAGATAAGTTTTTCTATTTCTGCAAAAAACAAAAACTCATCGGGGTTTTGGGAGAGATGGCGTTGCATCTGTAGACCACTTTGGGTGGTGTTGGCCTCTCTGCCCCGCGCGGTCCAGGAACGTGGGGCGCACCCGCACTTCTGCGTCTCCCTCCACTTCTCGACACGGTATTTTCCCATTTTCACTCTGCAAGTCTTTGGCCTCCTTAGTTAATTCACAACTATTTTACTCTTTTGGATGCTCCTGTAAGCAGGAATGTTTCTGTCATTTCTTCTGAAGATTGTTCATTGTTGGTAGAGAGAATACGGCTGATTTGCGGTTGCTGACTTTGTACCCTGCCTCGCGGAATTCTAGTAAGATCTGACAGGTGCGCGCGCACGCGCGCGTGTGTGTGTGTGGAATTTATGGCGTTTTCTACACATAAGGCCGTATCCCCTGTGAACAGAGGTCCTCTTACTTTTCCTTTCCAATCTGGACACTTTTTCTTTCTTTTCCCGTCTATTTGCTCCAGCTGGAGTGCGGAGCCCGGTGCCACACGGTGTGGCAGGGGTGAGTGTTCTTGCCTCATGCCTGATTGTACAGGAAAAGCGTCCCGCCTTACAACTCCTATGGTCAATGGCGTGCTGTTTACTGCGGGATTTTCAGATGCGGCGTGTATCTGTATCTGTATATGGCGCACGTACAGGTGGTCTCCTCATAGTCCTGACTTGTTCCCTCTTTTCAATGCGAAGTGTGAGGCATTTTGTCTTAATGCTTTTTCGCATCAATGGAGGGCCCGCGTTTCTTTTCCCCCCTTCGTTCTGTAAACTCAATGTGTTCTACTGATCGATTTTCTCATGCTGAACCATCCTTGCGTTCCACATGTAATTCCCACATGGTCATAGCATGGGATCTCTGTAACACGCTCGGAAACCGGCTCGGAATCGGGTCTGGGCCCCTCTGTTCTTCCAGGGGCTTCCTCTGGCTTTGGTGTCAGGGGAATGCTGCCCTCACAGGACGAGTTAGGAAGCGTTCCCTCCTCTTCAGTTTTTTGGAAAAATTTGAGAAAGATTGGGATTAGTTCTTCTCTGAATGTTGAGTAGAATTCACCAGTGAAGCCTCAGGTCCATGACTTCTCTTCGATGGGAGAGTTTTGATCACTGGCTCAGTCTCCTCGCTAGTTATAGGTCTACTAAGGTTTCCCGTTTCCTCCTGAGTAATCTTAGTAGGCTTGTGTCTCTGAGAACCTGTCTGCTTCATCTGGGCCATCTGGTTTCCCTTTGAACTTGGTTCTTACACCGTCTGTCCTCATTTGTCTGTCCATCCACCTGACCACCCAGCGTCCACCTGACCACCCTGTGTCCACTGCCCATCCATCCTCTGCAGCCTGGATGTGAGCCCTTGGTGCTCTGGCTTCCCCTCCTCGAGGTATAGCCTGACTGCAGACTGACATGGGGAACAGTCCTTGTCAGAGCCCTGGCTATGGAAGGAGCCTCCTGAGACCCCTCCCCTCCTCCTCCTGGGGCCCACCCCCCCCACTGCCCTGGGTGCTCTTGCCTCTGGGCCCCAGCGATGACTGCCAGGTGTCCCCAGATACTGTGTCCTTGGTGGCATGGTGGCTGTAAGTTGAAAAGAGGAACCATCCCATGAGGACGGATGTTCTCCAACACCCAAATTAGGATGTATGGGCTGAGCTCTGGGGGCTCAGTCGTTCACATGACTGCTGGCTGGAGAACGTGGGTTTCTCAGGGCCCAGCGAGGACACAAGATGTCCTTGGGGGGACATCCTTGGTGCAGATAACCCCTTGGGCCCTGGTCTGGAAAGCAGCAGGTGTCTACTGGCAGTGGACCTGGCCTTGGGCCACTGGCCTGTCCAGGTGGACCCTGCGGTAGGCGCCACCCACCCCGGGCAGACCAGGGCCCGGGCTAGCTGCTGCTCTTGGGCGTCTCCCATGGAGGCCCCCGGCTCACTTCCCTCTGCCCCACAGGAGATTGTCCTGGTGGTGTTCTTTGGGACGGAGTACGTGGTCCGTCTCTGGTCAGCAGGCTGCCGCAGCAAGTACGTAGGCATCTGGGGGAGGCTGCGCTTTGCCCGGAAGCCCATCTCCATCATCGGTGAGTCCTGCCTGCCCCCAGGGGAGCTTCACCCCGAGCTTTCTGGGCACGGGCTGGGCACCCTCCCCAGGAACGGGGATCTGGCGGGGTGGGTTCCCCATTGTGGGCTCCAGCAGACAGGGTCCCCCGAGGCCATGGGGTGACCCCCTGAGCCCTGCAGTGCAGGAGGGAGCCTCAGACACTGCTCGCAGGGCTGGGCTTGGCCGCGCTCAGCACAGTGTTGGGGGGGGTCTGCTGCCCCAGCAGCCTGGGAGTGGGGCACGGAGGTGGGCCGGGTGGGCCTGGGTGTGCCTGAGACAGAGGGCCCCGTCCGAGTGGCCCTGTCCTCCTGACCGCCAGGCTCCAGTCCTGAGCCAGAGGCCTGGCTGGTGATGTGCCACCCCTCCCCCCAGACCTCATCGTGGTCCTGGCCTCCATGGTTGTCCTCTGCGTGGGCTCCAAAGGGCAGGTGTTTGCCACCTCGGCCATCAGGTACAATGGGCTACAAGCCGTCCCAGCTGGGGGTGTGAGAGCCCGGGGCGGTGTGCTGGGGGAGGGGCCGCAGGCTCAGACCCCACACGGGAGTTAGGCTGCCCGGGTTGGGGACCCAGCGAGAACACTTCTGGGACTTGGGCTGGGACCTAACCTTCTGGGGATCTCGGTTTGCTCATCAGTGAACTGGGGTGATCCCAGGGCCTTCCCCAGAATCTGGTCTGGGAAGCAGAGGAATTTGGAGATGTGCAGGTTTGGCTGAGCCCCCGACCCTGTGTTCGAGAAGGAGACAGCGAGGCCTGCCTGGTGGCGAGCGGGCAGATTCAGAGTTGGGCTTTGAGGCGCTGCACCAGGGGTGGGGCTGGTAAGAGGTGCCTGAGTGGGGTGAGTCGGGGGCAGGAGCACAGAGGCGTCTCCCCCGCAGGGGCATCCGCTTCCTCCAGATCCTGAGGATGCTGCACGTGGATCGTCAGGGAGGTACCTGGAGGCTGCTCGGCTCCGTGGTGTTCATCCACCGCCAGGTGGGTGGTCTGGGTGGGGTGCAGGGGCCCGAGGTGGGGAGGACGGGGTGCGATGTCTGCCAGGCAGGTGATGTGTCCACGCTCCCTCGAGCTGGGGGGCAGGAAGCCAGGGGCAGAAGTGCAGGATGGAGAAAAGAGGCTCTCAGAGGCTCAGAGATCTAAAAGCCACAGAGGGGAACAGTCCGGCGAAGGCAAGGCGCGTCGCCACCATTCTCGGGGCTGAGCCGGAGGCCAGCGGAGCCCGTGCAAGCTGGCCTGACCCTCCGGGCGATGGCCGGGGCCAACACCGGCCACAGAGGCGAGGGGTGGAGGGGTCCTGAAGTCCAGTGCGGGCATGGGAACCACACGGGAATTCACGGAGAACCGTCGTGGGACCCGGAGCGTGTGCTGAGCCGGCCCCTGGCCTGGGATGTCTGTCCGGAGTGTTGTCATGGAGGCCGAGGACACCACGAGTGCTCGGCTGACGCGCCCTCTGCCCGCTCTGCCCCCAGGAGCTCATCACCACCTTGTACATCGGCTTCCTGGGCCTCATCTTCTCGTCATACTTCGTGTACCTGGCCGAGAAGGATGCCGTGAACGAGTCGGGCCAAGTGGAGTTTGGCAGCTACGCGGATGCCCTGTGGTGGGGGGTGGTAAGTGGGGACAGGCGCCCTGGGCAGCCACGGGGCAGAGGGCACCGGGTTCTGGAGCCCCGTGGTGGACCCTTCACGCTCAGAGGACGCCGTCGGGAGGTCCTCGAAGTCTCGGAGCTGGTGTAACCGGTGTCCGACGGGGTGACGGGGTGTGCGTGGGGGCTGGGAGCCCCTGCCCGCCCCTAGGTGGGGCCCTGTGTGGTGCCAGCTTCCCTTTGCCCTGGCCGACCGGGGAGGGCGGGGTCAGGCGCGGGGCCTGCCTGTCTGGGAGGGTCTGTCCTGGCCCCAGGAGCATCCCTGTGCCAAGGAGCACGACGTTAAATAGCAAACAACCCAGGATAGGATGGGCAGGGGTCCTCGCGAGAAAGGAAGAGCGCTCCCCTGTTCTGGCTGTGCCCCAGGCCTGCAGATGCCGTAGCCGGGCCCTGTCTGGAGACGTGTAGGCTCCCCCCAGGGGCCCTGAGGCTCCCCTGCCTGTGGAGATGGGCTCCTTGGGTACACGACAGCGGGGCCCAGCACCCTGGCTTCACTTGCAAGGCCCGGAGCAGGGGCTGGTGGCTCTGGGCTGCCTGAGCTGCCCCTCTGTGGGAGAGGGGGACGTAAGGTGGGGGAGGCAATTCCCGGCAGGCCAGGGGGCTTGCAGGGACGGGGGACATTCCACAGAGGACCACTCACTGCTGTGGACAGCCAGGCGCAGGCTCTGCCAGCCACACACGCCCTGAGTCCTGCCTGTGTCCTTGCCGTGTGGGCCCACGAAGCCCCTGTTGAGGGCATGAAGGGTGCCCCTTACCACACCCTCCACCATAGCTTGGCCTCATAGGGGCAGGGTTCTGGGCATTTCAGTGCAGGGTGACTGGTAGCTTCCCCACCCGCGGGGATCAGGACACGGCCTGGGAACCAAGTGCGCAGCGTGCATCCCGGGATGGAGGGCTGCTGTGGGGAGGGACGGGGCGTGGGCCACAGGCCAGGCCCTCACACTCCCCGCACCGTTCCCATGGGATACAGCGCTCCCTCCTTCAGAGTGCTCTGGGGTGCAACCTGCTGGCGCCCCAGAGGGGTCTAGGACAGAGCCGGGATCAGTGGAGCGGGTAACCGTGGCCCCCATTACAGGCTGAGTGTGGCTGGGTGGGGAGCCCCTCAGAGCTAGGTGTGGGGCGGCTGATGTCCAGGCTCGTTAGGGTGGGGGGGCAGGGACAGGAGCTGTGGCGAGGCCTTGGGGGCAGCAGAGCCCCTGAGGGGCGCTGGGTAGGGGCTAACAGCCAGGTCTGTCCCCAGTCTTTTCCCTTCCAGAAAAAGTGGGCCTTGCTCTCTCCTGGGGCTCCCCACCCTCCTCCAGAAAGGAGACTCATCCCAGTTTGTCCAGGTGGGGTGGGGAGGCTCGCTGTGGCCCCCAGGCCACCACAGGCCCCTGCTGTGTCTGTGTCTCACGCCTATGAGGCCAAGCATCCAGGGAGGGCCCCTGATGTTGGCGCATCTGCATGTTTTCTGGAAGCTTCCGCCGTGCCAGGCTGCTCGAGGAAGAGAAGGACATGCTGACCCAGCTCTGGGCTGGGGAAGGCCCCAGTTCCAGCCCTGTTCTCCCCGCCGGCCCAGGTCGGCAGGCCCTAGCAGGTTAGGGCGGGAGGGCTCAGCCCCCAGCAGGGAGCTTGCCGGTGGTGGGTGGAGGGGCCAAGTTCAGGTGATGGGCCCGTGCGGGGACAGGCTGCCCAGAACCAGGAGGAAGTGTGTGGGTGATCGCCCGAGGCCTGGCTGATAAGCGGTGCCCAGCCTTGGCGCTGCCCTCCCTGCCTCCCCGGGCCGCTCCCCTGCCCCCAGCCCTCAGCAGAGCAGTGCCCCCACTCCCACACCTGTGCAAACATCCGCCCGCCGGCCGGGAAAACGGCCCCTTTGTGCCCAGCTTGGCACCGGTGCCCCAGCCCTCGCCGTCAGCTGCAGCCCCAGCCTCGGCCACCGCGGGCCCTGGTCTGGCCATTGTTCCTGCCAGGCCCTGCGCCTCGGGGCCGCCCCGGGCCCCCCGCCCCCCGGGGCTCTGGGGCAAACGGCTCCCATTCATAGCCGCGGCTGCCCCTGCAGCTGTCCGGGCAGGAGCGGCCCCCAAGGCTTGAGTTATGGGCTGTGTTCCTGGCGCGTCTCGGACAAACAGAGCTCAAGAAACGCAAGACGGGGCTGGCCCTGATTGGGGCTTTTAAGCTAGTTTGGTGATTTGCAACTGCGCCCAGCAGTTGTTCTCTGCCCGTTCTCTGTGTCCTGGTTCCGTTTACCTCTCGTGGGAGGGGGCACCGGCCCCGAGGCTCTCTGTTGGGGACAGACGGTCCAGGGGGTGCTACCCTGGGACACCCAAGGGAAGGGGTGGTGAAGGCCACATGTTGGGCCATTTCTGGCCTCCACACTGGGTCCACCCCAGGATTTGCTTGCACCCCCCATGCCCCTCACCCCACAGGCCGGGCTGGGGGCCGACCAGAGCCCAGAGCGCATTCTCAAAGATGTGCAGGACAGACCCTAAAATAGGGCATCTGGGCCACCAGGAAGTGAGAAGGACCATCCCCTACATGGGGAAGAACCAGGGGAGTCCTGCAGGGGAGCTGGTATGCAGACACCCTCGAGTCCATCCAGGCTGCGGGTGCCCCGGGGGTGGCCCCAGGTGTGCTCAGCATCTGGGCTCAGCGGTGTCTGTTGTATGGACGAATGAGTGAGTTCACGGGCCGTGGCACTGGGGACAGTGGGGGTATCCATCTCCCAGGGAGGCCATCAGAGTCCCACAGTCTGAGGCGCTTAAGACAAGAGCAACATATTCTCTCCCAGTCTGAAGACCAGAAGTCCGAGATCAAAGCGTGGGCAGGGCCATGCTCCCTCCGGAGGCTCCAAGGGAGGGTCCTTCCTGCCTCTTCAAGCTTCCGGGGGCTTTAGGAGTCCCTGGGTTTGTGGCCACATCTCCTGTCTCTTATAAGGACACTTGTCTTTGGTTCAGAGCCTGCCCGGATCGACCAGGATGATCTCCATGCAAGAGCTTCCCGTAACCACCTTGACAAAGGCCCTGTTTCCAAATACGCTCATATTCTGAGGGTCTGGGCAGGCATGAAATCTGGGGGGGGCGGGGGGCACTATTCAGCCCCGGACGGCGGTGTCCTGGCCAGACTTCACGAGGAGCCCCGCCTTCCCAAGCCTCAGTTCTAGGTCGTCTAGCGGGGGTGTCCGCTCAATGGCTGAGTGTCTCCTCCTGTCCCCCCAGCCCGGGGGGGGGGGACGTCCAACACTGGTGTGAGAGCCCCCCTCTCCCCCAAGTGTGGCGCCCCATGCCTGGCTGCTGAGGTGTTTGGGGAGGATTTAAGACTTTTTTTCTTCGCCCTTGGAACAAAATGCGTTTGTTTGTGCTAAAGTTTGAGTGGAGGGAAAAGCCGTTTTTGCAGACACGGGCTCTTCTGTTTAGCGCCCGGGGGTCTCTCAAATCAGGAGGCTGCTGGGCTCTGTTTACCCCCTGCATCTAAATTTAGTGTTTAGAGTGAACACGCTGGAAGCCTGTCCCTGCATTTCAACCACCATTTAGAGTCTGATTCCTGTTCACTCTCTCAGCCGGTGGCTCCAGAAGGGTCCAGCCTCCGGGGCTAGAGTGCCTCCTGGCCGGGTGAGGTCCGCTGGGTCTGGGGGCTGAGTAAGGGCCTGGGTGAGGACAGGACCCTCCAGACATTCACATGCAAGCGTGTCGGCCCCGCCAAGAACATGGGGCCGGTGTCGGGACCTCATCTGAAGCTGGGAAAACTGAGGCCCGTGAGCCCGGGAGTGGCAGGCCAGGTGCCCACCCCAGCACTCAGACCCCATGCGTTCTGGGGCTCTGTATGCCTGGAGCTCTCTGCAAAGCCTGCGAGGGCTGTATAGCTGAGAACCAAGGTCTGCAGGACCCCAGACTTGTCCCTGTAGACCACTGGGTGTGGGGCAAGGACTGTGGGCTCCGGGAGCCAGGCCAGAGAGCCTTCCCTGAGGAAGGACCTTGGCAATAGGTTTTACAGGATGAGTAGGAGACCACAAGGTGAGGGTAGGAAGCAGGATGGATTTCTTCTGGGGTGGGTTTCAGCTCATGTCAGTGAGTGTAAGAACTTTCCAGCTTCAGCCCCGTGGAAAGAAACATGGTCAGCATCAGGGAACACTGTGAGACAGGGGTCTGTGTGACACTGTGGTCAGGAGCGTGGGGATCCGTGTGGCCTGCACAGGTTACCTGACCTCTCCGGGCCCATTTGTAAACTGGGTACAAAATGAGTACCCATGCCCACAAATTGTTGGAGAAGTTAAGTCAGCAAGGACATGGGCAGCCTGGGGCCCTGGGCGCCCAGCGAGGAGAAAGCAAAGGCTGGGTGCAAATGGTGGGGGGCCCTTGCTGGCCACAGCTCTCCAGGCATTCCCCAAAGCCAGACACTTGCACTGGACCCATAGCAGGCTAACTCACACTAAAGTGTGTATGGCTGCTGTGGTCTAATCACACCCCTGAAGCCCTTCTGGTTTTGAGAGTCTTACTATCTGCCCCTGACCAGCTCCCCACTTCCAGCACCTTCCTCACAGAGCGGCCCCTTTTGGTGCACGTGTTTTATAGCCCCTCCTGAACCCGAAGGACCTCATGTTTCTGATCCCCATCTCGAGGGCCTAGGCGAGGCCAGCCACAGGGAAGGGGTTCCTGGAAGACTCATCAGGCAGTGGAGAGAAATCGAGGACGGCGGACTACGGCGTCCACTTCCAAGGATGCCAACTCAGTGGCACCGTGGACCTGGCCCTGGGGCCAGAGAGCATGTGGTTGGGCCATTCCTCAGTTTCCCCATCTGTAAAATGGGGAGGCCACAGAGCACCTCCTCGGGCCGACGTGGGACTCACCAAGAGGACGGCAGGCCCAGGGAGGCAGCAGAGGTTTCTGCGGCCGTGAGGACTCTCCTTGGACCGTGAGGTCCTCTTGGCGAGGCCGGCTTTCAGCAGGAAGGCCTATTTCTCCGCGTGCAGACGTGACGTTGGGGCGTCGTTGCGGTCCTACTCAGCGCTGGCGCGGGTGCGGCAGGGTGGCGGGCGGCCCTGATCTTATGCCCTCAGGGCTAGAGCCCTGGCCTGTGCAGGATGATTTGCAGGGTCCCTGGAGGACCTCCTCTGCCCTGGCAGTCAGGGTGGGCCCGTAAGCCACACAGGTGGGGCTGGAGCCCGAGTTTCCCTGAGTGCAGCCACAGACTCACGGAACGAGAGGCTCCAGTCTGGGTGTGTTCAGCGATTTCGTCCTGCCCATGGAAAGGAAGCTGGTTTCTTTTGGAGTGTTTGCTGTCTTTCGACCCATAGTTTGTCTGCCTGGCTGGGCTGTTCCCCGGCCCCCATTGCCAGCACGTGGCCCCTTTGTGGCCGTTTCCCACCAGCTAGACTGGGGCCCTCAGGGCAGCCCTGCGGCGGCCAGGGCTGAGCACACCCTCAGGACAGGTGCCCGAGGACCGCTGCGCCCGCCCATCACGGCCCGAGACTGTCCTGCCACCTGCCCGGCCGCCCCCCTACCCATGCTTCTCCTCACCCTGGCTGCATCCTTCCAGCCTCCTCCGGGCAGGTTGGTGGCCCGTGGCGGCATGGCAGCCTCTGGCTGGGGGTTTGCTCTGCAGCCTCGCCACGTCGTGATGTGGACAAGTGGGTTGTGCCCGCTCAGTCACTTACCAGTGGTGAGACCTCACACACATTGCCTGCCCCTGCCAGCCTCAGTTTCCCCTCCTAACTCACGTTACCATCCCAAGTTTGCCAAGTGGATGCACCACCGGTGTGAACCCCTAAGTGTCTACACTGGCACTGCCATCACACCCACACGTCGATAGACGGCCATGACACCGCCAGATGGGCCGCCCGACCCCCCAGGGCAGCCATGGTTTCTGGGCTGGCCCTCCCATCTCACTGGAGGCTAGCCTTCCAAAGGCTGCCTTAGAACAAAACACTGGTGCCAGGTCCTCGGGACGGAAAGTGTGTGTTGGGGGGATCTAGAAGTTTCTCTCTTGCCTCCTGTCCCTCGAAATGTGAGCAAAGATGCAGAGGCAAGCACACGGCCCGTTGCCAGCTTCCGGAGGATGAGGATGCCTTGGTCCCCCTCCCTCCCGCCTCCACGGCCCTGTCCCCGGTGTCCTGCGTCCATGGGTTTGCATGTGAGCTGGTCCGCGTGGGCCGCTGCCTGGTGGCTGGCGCCCAGGGGAGCACGGTGGCCGCACTGTGTCTCCCCGCATCTGTGGGCCCAGGACGTGCAGCCCTGCATCCTGGACTGCCCGGTCAGGGGCAAGTGGCGAGCGCAGTGGCTGGAGACGGGCCGTCCTGAGCTACCTGAGCTTGTGATCTCAGGAAGAACAGCAGCTCTGTTGGGTGGGCCTCCGAGAGCCGAAGGGCGTCGCTAACAAAGCAGGTCTGTGACTGGGTGTGAGAGGTGCGTGCCCTCCACAGGGTGGGGGATGCCAGGCCGGGCACCCCAACATCTGCAAGCCCGCAGTGGGGAGCCCTGGTGTGCCAGCTATTGTGGGGCTGGGGGAACTGGGGTGCTGGTCGGTTTGCTCAGGGAGATGGTCTCAGGGGCCCTGGCCTGTGCCCCGCCCCAGCCTACCCCCCACTTTTGCTTCCCCGTCATCATGGGTTTTTTTGGTATTAATTTTGATCATTTAAAAGGTTGTATTAGGTATTATTTGTCTTGATGCCTGAGTTTCCTGGGACGCTCTTAAACCCTCAAACCTAGCATGTGTGCGCACGTGTGTGCACGGCGTGTGTGTGCACACACGTGCACGTGTGTACATGGTGTGTGTGTGCACGTGTGTGTGTGAGCCCCCCATGGTGGCCTCTGCATCTCCCTGCCCAGCAGCCACTCTCAGACTTACTGGTCTCAGGTCCACTCTTAACAATCGCTGCAGACCCCAGAGAGCCTCTGTTCACATGGGTCGTACCTATCCATGCCCAGCGCGTAGGAAAGCACCACCGAGCAATTTAAAAAACATTTTCATGTTAATTTATTAAAATGGTAATAGACCCGTTCCACGTTCATATAAATAACTTCAGAAAAATTTTATTTTCTAGAAGAGGGCAGGATGCAGTTCTGTTGCCCTCACCCCGTTGTAAACCCCACAGCCCCAGACCCGCCTTTTCTCCGTGCGCCCGGTTCTCTGCAGACGCAGCGGCAGCCCAGGCCTCACACGTGGGGTGCAGGCCGTCCAGAGAGGACACCCTGCAGACGAGAGGGCTCCAGGCTTCCCCGGGGCCCCCTTATCTGCCAGCTGGCTGTCAGGCTTGCCCTTGTCCCCAGGGTGGTCTGGCTGCTCCCTGCTGGCACCTGCGCCGTGGTCCAGGTGTGCACGGCATGTGTGCATGCATGTGTACGTGTGTGCATGGTGTGTGTGTGCATGGCGCGCGTGTGTGGTGTGTGTGCACGGCATGTGCGCGCGCGTGCATGTGCACGTGTGTGCATGGTGTGTGCATGGCACGTGCGTGCATGTGTGTGTGCATGGTGTGTGTACGCGTGTGTGCACGGCATGTGCGCGCGCATGTGCACTGTGTGCGTGGTGTGTGTGTGCACGGCGTGTGTGTGCACATGTGTGCGTGGTGTGTGTGTGCACATGTGTGCGTGGTGTGTGCATGTGTGCGCACGGTGTGTGTGGCATGTGTGCATGGTGTGGGTGCGTGCACGTGTGCACGGGAAATGGGACCGAGGGACTCTGAAGTGTATTGGGCTCGACATGGGCACCGGCCCCTCCTCACGCGCCCTTGTTGTGAGACGCACACACGTGTGTGCCATGCTGCTGCTGGAGTGCATCGGGCTACTGCATGTGTCCGTGTGCATGTGCAGTGTCCTAGCTGCGTGGGAGGCACATTTGTGGTATGCACCCCCCTCCACGGGCTCAGGTGTCCCATTTACAGGACTGGTCCATAGGCAGCTCGGCGTGCTCCGTGTGCGTGTGTGTGGGGGGGGTGTTTCCCAGGGACAGTGATGATGTGGAAGTCCCGGGACCCCAAGCAGGACACGTGGTCAGGCTGCCGTGGTTAGGCTGCCGTGGGCCCAGTAGTGGCCGGCCCTGTCTGTCCCCAGTGCTAGAAGCTGAGTGCTTGCCTGGACTCACCTGTGTGCTGACGGGCTCGTTGGTACGCCTGCCTCCTCCCCTACGGTTCCCGCAGCTCCAAGTGATCACATGTGTGTCCCTGCCTGGCTGTGGCCTCTGGGTCTCTTCCTCCCTCTGTGCTCTGTGGCTGGTGGGGTGCACCCACCGGGGTCCCAGGTCGGACTGGCAGTCACTGCCGCAGACCTCAACGCATCCTCTCTGGCCTTTCCTTCTGTTGGAGTCTGTTCTGTAGGCCCCCCAGGTCCTGGCTCTGCATCCCCCATTCCCCACACTGGCTCCTCGGGGCAGGGGATCGAGGGAAGGCTCCGTGCAGACCTTCCCGGGCCTGCCAGAGGCCGTTCTCACCTGGCCTGGACTGGAGGCTCTGGAGGAGAGAAGCCAGGCTGCTTAGAACAGGACCCGTGTGACCACAGGGCGGGCAGGTACTGGCCAGGCTGACCTCCAAAGGCAGGAAGCCACATGTACTCTGTGGGCCACTGTGCCTGATGCCCTGGTGTGCAGGTGTGAGCATGTGCCCACAAGATGTGTGAGTCTGGCCAGGCTCAGAGCCCACGCCTGCAAAGGCCACGGGCAGCCCCAGGGCTCAGAGCCAGGCAGGTGTGGGCTGAGGGAGTCGGGGCCGAGTGACCGGCTCAGCCAGGCTGGGCCTTCAAATCCTGCAGGATGTCACATTCAGGCTTGGGCTGGAGGCCCCAGGCAGCAAACCTCGGATGCAAGCAGGACCGGGGCCTGGGGCGGGGCAGTCCCCGTGCCCGTGGTCCCACCACAAGCTCCAATGGTCGGCTCCCCCACCGAGAAGAAGGCTCGGGCTGCGTCTGGTTCTCTCGGAAGAAGGGTGACTGAGACATCTGGTGCCCGGGGTGGCGTCAGGAAGTGGCACGTCATCTCTGTCCTTTTGGTCAAGGACCAGCCTCAGTGGGAGCTTCCAGCCTCCTGGGGGCCGCCGTGTGGCGATGTCGGTGGCCCGGGTGGCGGGACTGCTATGGGGCGGGGCAGGTGGTGGAGCTAGGAGCGCCGCCTTGGCGCCCAGCCCCTGTGCACAGCCAGGGCATTGCTCCTTGTATGGCATTGGCTTCGGGACACCACGACCGTCCACCGGGCGGGAGCTCCGTGTCGGCAGAGCGGCGGGTTCGGGCTGGACAGTCGTCCGTCCCAAGCTTCCGGGCCTGAGCCCTGCCCCCGTCCCCTCACAGGTCACGGTCACCACCATTGGCTACGGAGACAAGGTGCCCCAGACATGGGTCGGGAAGACCATCGCCTCCTGCTTCTCTGTGTTCGCCATCTCCTTCTTCGCGCTCCCAGCGGTAGGTGCTCTGTGCTGGGGGCATGCGCGCACTCCCCAGCAGGGGTCCCCTGAGCAGGGCGCCGGCTCACAGAGGTGCCCCGCCCTCCCTGCCCCCAGAGCGTCCTTTGCAGCAGGTGTGGGCGGCAGCCAGTGGGGTTCTTGGGTAACAGACAGCGGGGTGCAGGCCGGGGGATTCACCCCGAGGGGTCGCAGGGAGGCCCCACCACAGCTGCCCTGTGATGGCAAAGGCAGAGTCCACGCACCTGCTGAGACCTGGGTCGGGCCTTGACCCGTGCCCTCCCTGGAAATCATGGACCATGAGGGTTACACCTTTTAGTTTCCCGTGTGTGCACATGGGTACGTGTGTCCCTGTATCCGTGTAGGGTGTGGGCGTACGTGACACGTCACTCACTACAGATACGTGTATGGATTCCGTGTGTGTCACACACACATGTTGTGTGTCGTGTATGCATCATGTAAGTGTACGGAGGGTGCGCATGTGTGTGTGTGTCTGCGTGTGTGTACGATTGATCCCCTCTGTGGACAGGGAGCTCCCTCCCTGAGAAGCTGGTCACATCCATCCCATTGGCAATCCTGGGGACGCAGCCACAGACCCTCTTGCGCAGGGCTACCTTCTGCCTGAGCCGGCGACCCGGCGCCCACCCTGTCCCCCCGGTGCCCGTCCTGTCTCCTAGGCGCCCGCCATGTCCCCCAGGCTATGCCAGGCAGTGGCTGCCCGCGTGGACACAAGCCCTGGTTTCTGCTCCTTTCCAGGGGATCCTCGGCTCCGGCTTTGCCCTGAAGGTCCAGCAGAAGCAGAGACAGAAGCACTTCAACAGGCAGATCCCGGCGGCAGCCTCGCTCATTCAGGTGATGGCGCCCGCCGTGGTCCCGTCCAGCCTCACGTCTGTGGGTAAACACCAGTTGGCGTCCGTTCAGAGATTCCAGAAGTGCTCTTGGCCATGATGTTCCATGCGGGTCCCTCTGGAGCGGAGGTGCAGACCCGCACCCACTGCTGTGCCTTCTCCTGGGAAGCGTGGGCCTTGCCGACAGGGTTGACATGGGTGCGGGGCGCCCAGCTCCCTCCCTAGAGGGTCCTGCGGAAGGTCATGTCCCGCGAGGCAGGCCAGGGGACAAGGTTGTGCCCTACCCCGGCCTAGGGGAAGTCTTTCCGTGGGCCCGTCCCCTCCCAGCCACAGCGACCGGCCTTGGTGTCTTGCTCCTCGTCCTCTTTCCTACTCTGCACTGGAGCAGGTCTGGGAAGGAAAAGGGAAGGGTCCCGCTGTGGCCAGCCCCCGGGGGGGCTGGGGCCCTGCTTGTGCAGTATGGGCACCTTCTGGGTATCCCTGGTACCCCACAGGCTTGGACTCCCCAGTGACAGCGAGTGGGACCGGCGAGAGCCAATAGCGTGGCCACACCCTGGCTCCTGGGGCCCCTCAGTGCCTGATGGGGACCCCAGGGTTGCTGGGGGCTGGAGGAGACAGAGCCTAAGAACAGCGGGGGAAATCAGGGGGCCCCGGGCCCCTGCACACTCAGCTGTGCTGTGACCCAGGGCTCTGCGAACACACCAGAGGACGGCTGGTCCTTTTAATGTAAACACAGACTCAGGCAGAAAACCATATTTGAAAACCGGGTCCCAGAGGGCCGGGGGCGGCGGAGTGGGGATGAGCAGGCCCAGGGCACAGGCGTGGTCCGTGTCCAGCCGTGGATGTGGGACTCTCTGCCCAGTGGGGCAGCTGTACCCAGAGCTGGATGACCCCTGGGGACGGCCTGGGGTCACCCCTGTGGCCTTGTCGCCTGTACCCTCTGCCTTAGGCAGGACCCCATGGGGGACACCAGCCATCAGGCACCGCTCCGCCTGGGAGCTACAGCTCAGCCCCGGGCTCCCCCTTGTCCCTCTGAAGCCCTTCCGGAACCCACCGTCTGGGGCCTGGACCGTGTACCTGGACGGGAAGGAAATAGCAGGGGCCATAAAGCCGAGGGGCTGGGCCCCCTCAGGCCTGGTTTTATGGCCCTACAGCCTTCTCCTTTCGGGGAGACCATAAATCAGGCCGTAAAATGAGCCCAGGCTGCTGTGGGCAGACTGCCGGTGGGAGGGGGGCGCGGCGGATTCCTTGCTGAGCCTTGTGCCTTGGGGGCGAGCCTCCCCTGTGAAGGCCGCGCTCAGGTGGTGCGTTCAAGGGGGTGCAGACATGCCTGCCGCTGGAGGATGGGGGTCCTGGGGAGGCGGGAAGTACGCAGTGGCTGGCGATAACATTCGTGGGCAGGACACGTGCCTGCCGCTGGGGAAGGTGGGACATGGAGGTGGCGCGTGGGCCTCGGAGGGGCCAGGCCTGTGGCCTTTCTCGTGGGCAGCATGAGAGCTGCCGTGTTTATCCAGGTCCCCATCGCGGGTGGTGTCACAGCCGCCCGGGAACCCTGCAGCCCCGCGGCCAGCAACGACAAGGCCCCCAGGATGCGTTCCCGTCTGAGGCTCCTGGCACCCCTCCTGTCCCTCACTGTCCACCCAGACGCGGTGTGTCCGCCCCTCGGATCCCCTGCGGTGGCGTCCCCTCCTCCGGGTCATCCCTGCATGGTGGCCATTATGGGCATCTCTCTAGAATGTGGGCCCAAGGCCCTTCTCACCTGCGCGATGTCCAGAGACTCCGCATGACTGCAGACGGTGCCCAGGCACTGGGACCCCACATTTGGGCCTCTGGGAGGGACCTTGCTCTGCCACCCCTCCTGCCTGGTGCCTGCAGGCCCAGGGCGTCCTGTTTTTGTGCCCGTCCCTGCACCCACCGTGCATGGCCCAGGAGAGGCAGCCAAGAGGTGTCTTTGCATCTGCGAAGGGACCAGGCTGGGGAAGGCGGCGGCAAGCGCGCTGGGGTCACAGACGAAGACTCTGTGGTGTTGAGCTGCGAATCCCAGCCAGCATGTGGGTCTGTGAGCTGCCTGGTGCAGGGATGGCCCTGGGAGGTGGGGGCTGGCCTGCAGGATGGGGTGTGGGCAGGATCGGGGAGCTGCAGCTCCCATGGGAGGCCGTTGGGCAGCTCGGCAGCTGACCGCCTCTCCCTTGTGCTGGTTCAGACGGCCTGGAGGTGCTACGCGGCTGAGAACCCCGAGTCCTCCACCTGGAAGATCTACGTGCGCAAGCCCGCTCGGAGCCACGCATTGCTGTCCCCCAGCCCCAAGCCCAAGAAGTCTGTCATGGTAACAGCCCCCACCTGCCGCCCAGACAGGGTCCCTCCTTAGCGGGTGGGGAGGCCTTGGGGGCCATGGCTCCTGGCCAGGGTTTGACCCTGGGGTCAGCTGAGCTCCCGTTAGGGCAGCAACACCACTCTGGGCCTGGGGAAGGGGGGCGTGGGTGTGCCGGGCACCGACGCCCCAGGGTCCCCATGGCTCCGTGGTGGTGTGTGGGCTGGTGCTGCAAGGCCAGGGCCATAGGGGGCCCGGAGGAGGAGCCCCAGGGTGTAGGACCGGCCGGTTCTGGCCGGCGGTGGGAGAGAAGGCTCTCGAGAGGGCCCTGATGTCAGGCTCTCTGCTGGATGCACGGTGGGTGTCGGTCGGGGCAGAGGTGGCACCCCGGCTCCAGAAAGAGGGCCTTGAGGTCGTGGTGCAGGGGGTTTGGGCAGGTTTTGGGCAAGGATGTTGTGACTGGCTGGTGTGGTGAATGAGGGTGGCGCCCATGCCCACACCTGCTTGGGGGCGCCCAGCTCTCCCGGGAGCCAGTTGCCCCCAGAGCTCCTGCACCCTCTGTTCCTTGTGCCGAACACCCTCCCAGACTCCCCATCTCCTCCACATTGCCTCCTCAGAGAGGCCTTTGCTGGCCCCAGGCCGGCCGCCAGGCCGCCCCCACCACACGCCGTCCCTCCGGGCGGCCCTTGTCGGCACATGCCCCGGTGCACTCTGGGATGTGTACCTGTTTGCCGGCTTCCTGCCCACCCGCCCCTCAGCCCGAGCTCCCGGGCAGCGCCCGTGCCGAGCCCCCCGTGGGACCCCTGGCAGCCCCGCAGTGCCGCCACCAGCCGCGCTTGGCCCCTGAGGCCTGGTTCCCTGGCAGGTGCCCAGCGGGGGCTGCCAGGGGGTTCTGGGGCTAGCGGACGCCCAGGAACCGCCGGCTTACTGCTTGTCATTTTAGGTAAAGAGAAAGAAGTTCAAACTGGACAAGGACAATGGGGTGAATCCCGGAGAGAAGATGCTCACGGTCCCCCACATCACGTGCGAGCCTGTCTCAGAGGCACGGAGGCCAGACCACTTCTCCGTGGACAACTGTGACAGCTCTGGTGAGAAGCCTTCGCCCCAGGCGAGGGTGTGGGGACAGGGACGGGCACTCGGCTCCCGCTGACCTGGCGTCTGCCCGGCAACGTCCTGCCCTCCCCACCACGGCGCAAAGGCAGGTCCCTCTGAGGAGGCGGGACCCCACTCTGGAGGGACCCTTCCCCTTGCTCTGTTCCATGCTCTGGGGGGCTGGACGCCAGGCCCCGCCTCGGTCGTGCTGTGTGGCTGGCGCCCCGTGTCTGGTAGAACGGAGGCGGCCCATGCGTGTTGACCCCCCCGTTCCTGGCAGAGGGGGGACGGGGCATCTAGAGCCAGCTCTGTGCACCCACACTTGTCCCCGTCCTTGACGCCGTGGGTCTTTGTTCTTCCGGCACTTCTGTGTCCGTCTCTCCCTTCTGGGACATCTTCCCGGCACCCACAAGAGCGTGCCAGCTTACTGGCCGCTGTAGGGACAGTGTCACTGTCTCGACTGGCAGAGAGGGACAGGCTCACATTGTTCCTGACGCTTTGTGCTTATGGGCGCCCAGCCTGCCAAGTGCTTGGTTCTCAGGCGGCTGACCCCTGATGCATCCCCCTGCATGTGGTCCCGTCCCCTGGCAGCAGGGCGGAAAGTGTTCCGGAAAGGGGCTGCGGCCGCTCCCTGTGCCTCGGGCCTGCCTGTGGACCGGGCCAGGGTGCCCACCCCGCTGGGCGCTGGGCCACTGCGGCCCCAACCCGTGCGGTCGGGATTCCGCTCTGGCCTGAATCTGGCCACTTCGCTGGTGAGCCCCTGGGACGCGCGCCCCGCCCGCCCCCTGGAGTGGGCACAAGGGACAATTGTGCCAACAAATGCCCGCCCCCCCCAACTCCGGATCCAGGGGCAGGACCATTGTCGCGATGCAGATGGGGGCTCTCCGCAAATGCTAATGGGCAGGTCGGGCGTGGGGAGAAGCATCTCTGGCTGTTTGCTGAATGCGGGGAGCTGCATTCAGACTGTTTGCTGTTATTAAGTGCCCGGGGATGCCTGCGGAATGGTAATGAGGCACGAGAGCAGGGAAGTCAGGCTTCCTTTGTGGAATGCTTTTGCATGGAGGAGTTTTGCTTTCCCGCTGAGGCGATAGGTCAGCCCAGCCCGGGGCCGTGGCGTTGCCGGAGCCTTAGCTGTTGGCCTGGCCCCAGGGGGCCCCGCGTGGCCCCAGCCTGGGGGTGGTGGCTGAGGCTCTCCAGAGCCCTGGTGGGGGAGGAGGGGCCTCATCCCGGGCAGATGCCGTCACTGGGACGGGCCCACAGCCCCGGCCCCGACCCAGCAGGGCGCGAGCAGCCGGGATGAATTCCACCCCCGGCCGGATCCAGGCCTTGCACCGGAGGCTGGCCTGCGTGCATCATTCAGGTGCACCAAGGGGCGTGTGAGGCAGGTGCCCTCCCCTTCCTGGCGCTGGCCTGTGCACAGCCCCCCACCTCCGTGGTTTCTCTCCATGTCTGGAGCCCACGGCGTCTCTGGGCTTCTGTCCTGTGGCACCTAGGGTCCTCGGAATGGCTGCCCACCCACATTCATGGCCTCCGGAGTCTTGTCTCCACCCTTGTAATCCCCGGGTGGGTCTCCTGTGTTCATGGAAAAGGCCCTAACTGGGCACAGGAGGACCTGTGGTGGCAGCAGGCAGGGTGGACGTCAGAAGCCCTGCCCTCCAGGCTCCCATCCTTCTGCAGGTTCCAGCACCCCACTGCTCACCTTGTTCTGGTCACCAGGGTCTACGGTCAGGAGCCCGGCCCGCGGGGGGGCTTGCTGTTCCTGCTCGCGGTTCACAGAAGAGCCCGGCGCTCATGAGCCTAATTTGTGGGGCGCCATCTAGAGCTGGCGCTGTGCCCCCGGCCGCACCCGCCAGGCCTCGCCTCCCTCCCTCCCCTCAACTGGCAGCCATCCCCGGACCGCAGCCCCAGATCCCACCCTGCGCCCCTTACCCATGCTGCCGTCGCCCTGTGTTTGGGTTTGACCTTTTTAAACCATTCTCTGAATCAGTCACTTGTATAGAATCGAGACTTGCTTACATTTACCAAGAGATTTGCTGGGTTTCTGCTTCAGAGTTTGGGTTTAATGTTCTTCTTCCTGAAGGTCCTACAGCGGTGCCTTCAGGGAAGGTCTGTCGACGGTCAACTTGGTTTTTGTTTGTCTGACATTGTCATATTTTGCCCTTGCTGTTGGGTGACAGTCTAGTTGAGGAAGAGGTGATGGGTTGAGATACATATTCCCTCCGAACGCTCAGCAGATGTGCCGCAGAGTCCGGTTTCCGCCTGTCGTCCAGCTCCTTGGCCACCCTGAGGAGGTGACCTGACCCCCTCTGGGGGCTCCTGGTGCCTTCCCTTGGACTCCAGTGCCGGGTCGTGTCACTGCAGTGGGGCAAGGTGGGGGCTAGCTCTCTGTCCCACCGTCCTCTGTGATCCCTGAATCTGAGGGTTCGTGTCTTTCATCCGGTGTGGACATTAGCACAAAACTGTCAGAAATTATCGCCTCCCCTAATGGCTCTGATCTGCCCTGGAAACTGACTCAGCCATCTCGGTCTGTCCTCCTTGATTGTCTCTAATATTTTCCTACTGTGTCTCCCCAGCTGCCTTCTTGGCAGATTCTTCTCAGTTTGCTGACTGTTCTGACGTGTCTGACCCACTGGTTAGTCCACCTGCTGGGATTTTAATTTCAAGGACCTCACATTTTTTCCACTTCTGTGTATCCTTGTGTGAGGGTGTGATTTGCTCAGTGTCCGCAGCTTGCGTCTTCCTCATAGTGTACAACTTGGAATTAATCAGTCACTTGAACGTGCTAATGTCATCATCCGGGCCACGATGTCATCGTTCGTGCCACCACGTCATCACCCGTGCCATGATGTCATCACCGGGCCATGACGTCGCCATCTGTGTCATGATGCCATCATCCGTGCCATGACGTCATCACCCATGTCAGCACATTACCATCCATGTCATGACATCATCATCTGTGCCACGACGTCACCATCTGGGCCATGATGTCACCATCCCGGCCACCACATCACCATCCGTGCCACATCATCATCTGTGCCACACTGTCATCATCCATGCCATGGCGTCATCGTCCATGGTTCTTGGAGAGTCTACCTCTGTTCACGGTGGCTTCAGCAACTCCTTCCCATGATGGCTGGTTTCCCGGTGGTCAGTGGGGGTCTTTATTTGGGGCTCCTGTGGGCCCTGTTGAGGGGACGTTGCCCTGGAGACCTTGTCCCTTGGACGGGGTGACGCAGTGAACCCCTTCAGAACGTTTGTGTTGTGGGATCTTCGAGAGGACCACACGGTGTCAATACAGGCCCAGTCTCGTGAGGACAAGCCCGTCCCCACGCAGCGAGAGGAGACCTCACTTGTAGTCCACAGACACAGGCCAACACCAGTCGGTTTTCTCTGTCCTCGGCGTTTGCCCCACCTGGCTTGGCGGCTTGGTTCCTGCTTTGCGTTGTTTCTGTGATTGGAGTCGGCCCTCCGTTCATTCGGCCTTTGCTGCAGGCCCAGGTTTACGTGTGGAGCCTCAGTCCCCACTTCTGGCTTCAAGCTGGTCCCCAGCCTGGCTCTTCGTCCAGTCCACACCATGGCTCCTCAGGTGAGCGGACGCCCCGGACCGCCCACGCACATGGTCTGCGCTGTGGCCCTGAGGGACGCCCTCGGCCAAGCCGGTAGAAGACATTTGTCATTTTGGCGAGCTTGTTCGGGAGTTTGTCCAGAGAGGGTTTTGGCGGCATTGGGTTATTGCTGGAAACAGAAGTCCTCGTGTTGGTGACAGAGAGAGTGTCCCCGGCAAGGGAGGCCGTGAGCTCCCTGCCGGCAGAGGGCCGGGCCGTGACCCTCCCAGTTGGAACTGCCCGGGGCTCCCTCAAACCAGCAGTAGAATTTCAGAGGCTGCCCCCGGAGATTCTGAGTCACAGGGCCTGCGGGGAGGCCCAGGAGTGTGTCTGTAATGTGCCCCTGCTTACTCTGGGGACTGTCCCTAGGGACCCCGAGGACACGGCCCAGCACTGACCACAGGGGACTAGAGCAGGGCTTCTGTGATTCCAGGTCTTTCTGACCTGGGCCCCCTCCTGGCACCTTCACCGGGGTCCAGGTCAGCCTTTCGTTACAAGAGCTCTCCCCGGGTGGAAAACACAAAAGAGCTTTCTCCATGCAGTAAGCCTATCAACACATAAACTTCAGCTAGGATGCTTCACAAAGAAAGACGGGCTACTCTCCCGCTGAGATCAGGGATACAACAGAAACAAGGACACACTGCTCCTGTCACTTCCAGTCCACATGAACCTGGAGGTTCTTGCCAGTGGAACAGTCGAGAAAAAGACATTGCAGACGTCCAGGTTGGAAAGGAAGAGGTAAAACCCTGTCCGTTGGCAGGTGGCGTGGTTCTCTGACTCATGGGCAAGATGACCACGGAACAAGCGTGTGAGCGGACCCAGGGCCACATGCAAACATCAATTCTACCTCGACATTCTGGCAGCAAATAATATGACGTCGAAATTTTAAAAATACCCTGTTCAGCGGGGAGCCTGCTTCTCCCTTTGCCCTCTCTTGCTACCCCTCTGTTCATGCTCACTCTCTCTAAAATTATTTCAAAACTTCCACTTACTGTAACATTAAAAACATGAAATACTCAGAGGGCAATCTAACAAAAGATGTGAACATAAAACATTGCGGGGAGGCGTCACAGAATCCCCAGGTCTGGGGAGAGGTGCGCCGTGCTGCCGGATCACCAGCCTCAACATTCATCTCTGAACTCAATGTGTTAGCCATCAGAATCCCACCGGGCATTTTGTGAAAACTAATGAGCTGGTTCTGAAATTTGCACGGAAATGACCCTGAAGTTGCAAAACAACGTTTAAAAACGAGCAGAGTTGGAGGACTAGCATGAGCGTAGAGATTAAGTGAATAGAATGATAAACAGAATAGAGTTCAGATAAACCTACACGCGTAGGGACAGGTGACTTCTGACCGAGGCACAGAAAGGAGAAAGGGTAGCAGTTTCAAC